CCAAAATATCTTTTTTTAAATATTATTTTCGGAACTTGAATTAACTAAAAAAAATTAAAAAAAATAAAAAAATACGTCTCACGGTCTCACAAAATATAGGTGGTCTTGAATGAACCTATATATATCTTTACTATCTTATAAAACAAATCCCACTATTTCTAAAAATAGATTGAATAAAATAATAATATTTTTTTAAGACGTCCAAATCATTAAGCTAATTGTACAACTAATCACTAATAAAATAATATTAAAATTTAAACAAACTCCTATAAATCTTCTCTTCCAAGGTTTTGACTATATCTTTTTTCATCCAAATAAATACTCAAAACCCTATAATTTTATCATTTCATGAATTTTCTTTATTTTTAATATGACATGGTTTCTAAAACAAACTAATCATTGAATTGAAAATAATCATTCTCCATTGAAAAGAAATTAATTGTCGAAACAAACTATTTGTCGTCCGCCGCTTTGCGCGGGTAAACGACTAGTGTGTGTATATATATATATATATATATATATATATATATATATATATATATATATATATATATATATATATATATATATATATATATATATATATGAAGTAAATAGTTGGTAGAAAGGGTAAAAATACGTCATTTGAAAAAAAAAATTGTCAACAAAGGAAATAAATCATTTGATTATACAAACTTTGATTTACCGGGAAAAAAACAAATTTAAATGTGTTATACTAATTTCTTTTTTCAAAAGAAAGAAAACGGAGATTGTTCTTTTAATAAACAAACAATTAAAATATCACAAAATTCACTAAGTTTATATGAAAATTCGGTTTTGGTATTGTGTTATTTCGTCTCATATTTGACACCGTCTTTTTAATTTTTTACAATTCTGACTATTTTGACCAGGCAATCCGGTTGCTTACTGATGTGACCTGATGATATGTCAGTTTTGATGACGTGTCAGTTTTGATGATGTGTTATGCTGATGTATCAAAATTGAAAAAAGTTACACAAATGATACTAAGTTTTCATTTTTTTTCAATTTTGACACTAAGTTTTTTTTTTATCAATTTTGACACTTTATTTTTTTGTCTCAAATCGAATATAACTTTTTCAATTTTTGTTCACTTTTGACTATTTACCATTTGAAACCGTATAAATAATTTTTTTTTTTGCGTTTGAAACTATATAAATATATAAAAATCATATTTGTTTTGTATAAAATACATGGTTTTTTACATTCAAACCATAATGTTATGTATAAATATGTATCGATTATATTATAACGATATTTGTCATTATATATGTAACTTTAAAATGAGTCTTGATATATGGAATGCACATTCAGATAAATTAATAAGATCTTGGGAACATTTCGCTTTAATTGCCAAGGAACATTTCGTTGTATATATTTACACATAACATTATTGGTTTGAATATAAAAAAACCTTATTTTATACTAAAAAATGTTGTTTTTAGGTGAAAAATATTTATACCATTATTTATATATATATATATATATATATATATATATATATATAATAAGATCTTGCGAACATTTCGCTTTAATTGCCAAGGAACATTTCATTGTATATATTTATACATAACATAAAGGTTTAAATATAAAAAAACCTTATTTTATACAAAAAAAAAATGTTGTTTTTAGGTGAAAAATATTTATACCATTATATATATATATATATATATATATATATATATATATATATATATATATATATATATATATATTGAATAAAATTGGAAAAATGATGTTCGATTTGGAACAAAAAAATGGAGTGTCAAAATTAAAAAAACAAATTAAAACTTGGTGTCAAAATTGAAAAAAAAAAAAAAACAAAACAAAACAAAACAAAAATTTTGTGTCTTTTGTGTAATTTTTTCAATTTTGACACATCAACATGTTATGTCAGTATGTCACATCATCAAAACTAACACATCATAATATCACATCAGCAGGAAACCAGGTTGACCAGTCAAATATTCAGAATTGTAAACAATTGAATACACGGTGTCCAATTTGAGATGAAAAATAACGTATTGTCAAAATCGAATTTTCATGTAAAATTAAAGATTTTTGGGATTTTTTTGTGTGTTTTGTCTTAGCTTTATAAATGCATTGTGGCAACCAAAAAGTATCATTTTTATGCAAGGTTGACAATGCTACGAAGGCCCATCTTGAAAACATTTTCGCTTTTATTTCTCGGTCGGCGGGAATCCATCACTTATGTTTTGCCTCAAAAAGTCTCTTCATCAGCCAACATAACAATGTTCACATAAAAATACACATGGCGACAACGTTACCATACACCGATGTTGATTCAGACTTGAAAGGAATGGTCGTTCGGGCTAAGGGTTTTGGTTGTTCCGCAATCGGTGGCGCTCATGGTCGTGTGCATCGCATCACCTCCTTGGTTGGTAGTTTGTTTATTTTTACAAGATCATTTTGATTTCCGGTTAAAAAAAACAATTTTATTCATGATGTATGGTTCTTTGTTGATAATATGTCTTCATATGAGTGAATTTTCAATATCTTGTTATGATTCATTTTATAAAACAATCAGAAATTACTGTGATCTAAAAAAGATTCTCTTTATACACGGATGACTTTTTTTAATTGCTAGATTTCAACTTTGATATGATTCTAAGAACAATTTCTAACAAAATAAATGATAATGTCAACAATCTTAACTCTGTATGTTCTCCCACCATACCGACATCTCTATTGCCAACCATCACAATCACCCTTGGTACCACCATCATAAGCTCTTTCTAACCCGTTTAGGTTCTTCCATAAATCCATTTCTCCTTCCTTTCTTGAACATCTCATTCCTCACCTCTAAATCATCTTCCCATTCATATTCATCACAATTTATTTGCACCCATTTATTAGGTAACGGTTCCACATAGAAAATTAGAGATTGAAAAAAAAAGATAGATGATAAACTGAATGCAAATTTTAGCTCCAAAACACTTCACTTGTTTGTGTACTCATTGAAAACCCACATAAATGTAATGGAATGTGTTGTGTGTTTGTTAGAGTTTGAAGAGGCGTGAATAGTTGGATTTTACCCAAATGCAAACATAACTTTCACACGAAATGTAATGATATATCATGTCATAGTAACTTAACGCCCTCGTTTTGTTGGTCATTGGTGGAGCCTAAATCAAAATGAAGATATTAGTTGAGTAGGAAATCTCCAATGGCTGTTGTTGTCGAGTCAGGGGTTAAGGTCACCCAGAAGCAAATTACTACCATTAAAGAGGGTAATAAGCTTGAGTAGAAATTCTCTAGCTTTTTCACGATCATCTGGCTTTAATTGTATTTCAATTTTGAATTTTATGTTTTTCTTTAATCCAATCCAACTTCTTCAAGCATCATGTTCATGTTTTGAATTGTTGTCAATGATGATGGTAGAAAATGGTTTTATGATCATATGATCATCGAGATGTCAACGGAAATGGTTTTGTTGAATTGTAGTAGTCGTATGAAGGGATGTCATGTGTTTGGTTATTTGTCAATAAATGAATTATATTTGTAGAATACAAGTACAAGATCTGTTGTATTTGTTTCTAACTTCTCGTTGATTTTGTATTGTGAATATAAATATATTTGCTCCATACAAGTACACGATCTGATACCTTTGTTCCTAACTTCTCTTTGATATTGTATTGTGAATATAAACAGTAATGGTGACCAAATAAGCTGGTCAATATCGATTTTATATCCCTAAAAAGCAATAAGTTAAGTTTAGTGACATTAACCTTTTTTTAATAAATTAACCATGGATTTGATCATTTGATTTTTGTAGAGTAAATTACACGAATGATCCTTGTGATTTGGGGTAAGTTACGTGTTTGGTCATTGACTACTTTTTTTTAACTCAGAAGGTACATATAGTTTAATTTTATTTCGAACTTGGTCCATAATCATCATAAAAAAGAATGATTTGCCATTAATATTTTTTTATTTTCTATTATACTCCTATTTATCATTTTTAATCGCCTACACCATCTTCCTCGAAATTAACAACTCGCCCAACCATAGTCTTCGGCGATGACCACAAACCACTTTGCCGACCTATTATAAACATCGGTTCGTCTTTCGAGCGATACCCACATCTCCCATGGCACCGACACCAACAAGAAGAAGCGATCTACTACGCAGGACCTGGCATTCGTCGACCACTTCAGCCAGCGATTTCTGGAACCCGACGTCTAACGAACAAATCTTAGATCCCGACGTTGCCTTGGTTGTTTCCAACCAAACCCCTATCTCCTTCCCCTTCCCCCTTCGTTTTCTCCCTTCCATTGTGCCCCATAAAACCCTCATGGTCGATTAGGGTTCAAAATAACTGAAAATCCTAAAGACTATACCATGTTTATGCTCATGTTACTGTTAGACGAAATCGATTCCATGTCAACTCGATTGAGCTTCAAATCAGAAGAAATCGAAGTTGCATCAGGTTTTTTTACATCTATGTGTGAGTATCTGTTTCTTTGTTTATGTAGTGTTTGGTTTCTGGATTTGATTTTTTTAATGGGTTTTCGGATGTGATTTCTTAAATAGCTTTGATCTTGCGAATGGATTTCTAGGTTAGCGTTTTTTTGGATTTTAACATCAATGGTATTTTTTCCAATTACAGAGGTAGTGATGGTGGAAGCCGAAGGTTAGCAGTGATGGTGGTAGGAAGTGGTTTTCCGTGACTGAACACAATAAGGAAGGAGGGATTATGGGTGGGATGGTTTGGTTTTTCAGTTTAAAGAGTTAAAATATTTAACTCAAATTTTTCAACATATTTATAAATACTTTTAAAATAATTTATAATGTAAAAAAGATAAAAGAAATGAATAAGGGCAAATAAGTTTTTTCTTTTCTTAGGTTGATTAGGGACCAACTTTCAAACAAAACTAAACTATAAGGACGTTTAAAGTAAAGTTAAATATATAAATTAACAAACGTTTTATTTTTATCTTTATTTATTTATTTTACCTTTATAAACGCTTTGTGGTAACGGAAAAGTTCCATTTGTATGTATGATTGAGAATGCTACGACACCCCACCTTGAAAACGTTTCCGCTTTTATTCTCCGGCCGGCGACGATCCATCGCTTACATTTTGCCTCAAAAAGTCTCATCCTCAGCCAACGTAACAACGTTCACGTAAACATACACATGGCGATAACGTTACCATACGCCGATGTTGATTCAAGCTTGAAAGGAATGGCCGGTTGGGGCGAGGGTTTTGGCCGTTCTGCAGTCGGTGGCGCTCATGGTCCTGTGCATCGCGTCACCTCCTTGGCTGGTAATTTGTTTAACTTTTACGAGATCATTTCGATTTCATGATTAATAAAACAATTTTATTCACGGTGTATGGTTTTCTGTTGATAATATGTCTTCATATGAGTGAATTTTCAATATCTCGGTATGATTCATTTGTTAAAACAATCAGAAATTACTGTTATCCTGAGCAGATTCTCTTTATACACGGATGAATTTCTAAATTGCTATATATCAACTTCGATATGATTCTAAGAACAATTTCTAGCAGAATAAATGATAATGTCCGTGTTTGATTGTAACGAAATCCGTATTTACCTTCAATTTGAATAAATGTCTTTGTAGATGATGGGCCAGGATCACTTCGGGAAGCATGTCGCAAGAAAGAACCATTGTGGATAATCTTTGAAATTTCAGGAACCATTGATCTGTCATCCTACTTGAATGTCTCATCACATAAAACCATTGATGGTCGTGGGCAGCGTATAAAACTAACAGGAAAAGGTTTGAGACTAAAGGAATGTGAAAATATTATAATATGCAATCTGGAATTTGAAGGTGGTAGAGGACATGATGTTGATGGGATACAAATTAAACCAAATTCAAAGCACATTTGGATTGATCGATGCAGCCTGCGTGACTATGATGATGGACTTATAGATATAACCAGACAAAGCACAGACATTACAGTTTCCAGGTGAATTTTTCAATTTCCTGATGAAAAATATTGTGGATGATTTTCATTTCTTAATGGAATCTCTCTGATTCTTGCTAGCAGATGTTACTTTGCTAATCATGATAAGACAATGCTTATTGGAGCGGATCCATCTCATGTTGATGATAGATGTATCAGAGTCACAATTCATCATTGTTTTTTTGATGGGACACGACAAAGGCATCCTCGTCTTCGATTTGGGAAAGTTCATCTTTACAACAATTACACTAGAAATTGGGCAGTATATGCTATTTGTGCTAGTGTTGAAGCACAGGTAAATTTTACTTATTAACTGTAGTAACTGTCAAGGTTAACTTATACATATACTTTTGCTTCAGATATATTCTCAATGCAACATCTATGAAGCAGGAGAGAAGAAAAAAGCATTCGAGTTTTATACCGAAAAGGCAACTACATCGAACTTTTGCTCTCGAATCTATTTTATTAATCCCTGAACATACATTTATGTTTTTATGATCAATTTTTTGGTAAAATATAAATAGGCAGCAGATAAGGAGGAAGGAAGATCAGGGTTGATAGTTTCGGAAGGGGACTTGGTTTTAAATGGAGCTCAATCATGTCCAATGAAAGAAGCAAATGGGGAAAAGATGTTTCATCCAAGTGAGTTTTATCCAAAATGGACAATGGAGCCTGCTACAGATGCACTGAAACAGATTCTCCAGGTCTGTACTGGTTGGCAATCTGTCGCAATACCAGCTGAGCAAGGCACTTCGTGATTTGTGAGATTAATCGGACATAAGATATCGGAATTAATTGACATAAGCATGTAAATATGCATATGTGATTGATAAATATTTTTGTTTATGTGTGTATCTAAAAGTATTATGAATATACATTAGTCCCTTATGAATTTTGCTACTGTTAAAATCCCTGAATTTCCATTTATATGAATGATTGAATGGTAAGTACTTATACTTACATCAAAACGATCCAATCTAATTGGAGTTTGAAACTTCAAAACCGATCCAATCCAATTGTGATTGATATACAATATAATCGGTTTGGATCAATCAGTTTGAATTTGATCAGGTTAATTTATGCACCTCGTAGACAAAATGTACTCAAACAGCTATATAACCATTGATTGTGTGTATTAGTTTAATTTGGTTGGGACATGATTTAATTAATGATTTCAAGTTTATATATGTGTGTAAATTGTAATTCATAAATATTTCTGTTTAAATGCTTTCTTAAATGAACATAAATATTTCTGCATCATCGGAAAGGGCGGGAAGTTTGTGATACTGAAACGATTGGCAAAGTCAATGAAAACGACCCCGAGGTTCTTTAAATCACCGGCGATCCCGGGAAAAGCACAGACAAGCAGTTTGCCATGTTTTCCGGCGAAAGACTCGTCAACATCTTAATACACCGTTCGTCTTCGCTTAACGTGATCAAATGCTTGCCGTAAAATTCCTCATACGCCGGCACTAATCTGTTCGCGATCGAGGCCTTCATCTTATCTCTCATCTTTTCGTCCACCACAATCCACGTCGTTTGCTTCCCGTATACCTCCTCAAATGTAGAATACAACCTCCTGAAGCAATCCCTCACCTTCTCCGGGCACACCACTGAATTTTCCGGCAAACATGAAATCACCTTATTCCAAGACATGGATTCGTAGCTTGATACATATTGATTTAACTTCTTTTCGTGTTTCATTATCCATTCTTCTCCTAGAATAGATTTCAGATTTGTTTCACGGACCTTTTCGATAATGAAATGGAGATTGTTGACTAGGAAGAGATACGATAGTGCAACGTAGTTGTGAAACTTAGCTTTGCCGTCCAATTTGCATAGAAGAACGAGAATGATCCATGCGAGCTTTACGGAAACGGCCGGCGGCGAAACTTCGTCGGTGTTCAGGCACTCCATGTAGGATTCCAGAAATGGCGATTGTTCCTTGAACGGCAAGTCATCTACGATGACATCACTTAGGGCACTGCCGTACTCAGCCAGCGATGATAAGTAAGTCATGACTGAATCATTCAACGGATGAATTCCACCGCCGGATACAGTAAGTTTAGATGAGTTATTGTGAATCGACGATTCCAACTCACGAAGAACAGTTCTGATGGAGTCGCCGAGTTTGTGAAGAGACGACAGAGCTTGCATTTTCACCGACGAGACAGATTCATATGAGAAGAGTGACTCGATTTCTGGCCAGAGATTTGAAATCGAATTGTACAACTCCATCATCAAGAATATTGTCTCCGACTTCAGTCTCTTACATCTCGTAGCGATAAGATCGGGAAATGTGAACAGATTCAGCGCTCCTTTCGTTGAATTCTCGAAACAGGAATCCCTGATTTCTACAAACGAAGTGAAGACGTAATCGCAGAGAAACTTCTCCCGGTGGAAGAGTGTCTTCACTGCGATTGGAACCGCATTCAACCAACTTTTGACATGATATTCAAAATGTGGAGCGTCTACCATCTTCTTGATGTGTGAAGAACAGTAAGGCTGGATTCCGAGATGAAATAGTGCTTCATCGATGGCTGATTTTCGTATGATTTTATAACTTTTGATACACTCCTTGCCGTAACCACAACTAATCATCGTATCAGCTATCAGCCTGAGAATTGAAATTGCAATCATCGACAGTGGTTCAGCATCAGAAACCGAGATGATCTGTAGTTTTCGCTCATCTTCGGATTCAGTGCTGGACCATGACAATCGAGAAGGCCAGCTAGAAACAGATTTAGGCTCCAAGTACTCACGATTATCCGATAAGGTTAGATGAAACTCTTTCTCGAGACGTTTCATTGCGATTTTCATCAATCTCTGAGCAACAGCTAGCATCTCTGACCTCGGATCATTTGAAACGAGGAAATGCATAGCACGGTGTATTCCTTTGACGCAATTGATGAAAACTGTGGCTTCTCTCGTGTTGTCTTGAAAGATGGAGATGAATCTGGTGTAAGAATCACCATTGATGTCCCATTTGTGGATGATTGACTCTGAGTTTTTTATGTTTTCTTCCATAATGGATTCAGATGGTGAAGATGAACATGGAGAAGAAGAAGAAGAGGAAGAAGTAGAGTTGGTAGTGAAGGAGAAGAGAGTGATTAGATTTCTTGGTCTTTTATTCAATTTGTTTGACAGTTTGTAATTAGTTGAGTGAGGGGTTTCAGGGATTGCCATTGATTCAAATGGAATGAGGCAATGGCCAATGAGCGAATCCTTTTCAGGTTGGAGTGATTTGGTTTCTGTTGAAGATGTGGGTTTGTGATGGAATTTAAATAGGGAGGGAAAATTAAAGGTTAAAGTGTCCCCTATGAACTTTTATATCATAAGCTTTATAAAAATTTATAAGTAGAGTTAATTACAGTTTCGGTTTCGTGTGTTGTGATCACATTTTCAGTTTTGGTGCTTAAGTTAGCAAAAATTAACACGATACGAAATAAACGGGTTTGGATAAGATATTTCAACCCGTTTAAATAAACAGGTTGACACGACATGATATAAAAATTAAATGGGTAAGGTTAGAATTGAGAATTTCAACTCGAATATGACTCGAAAATGATCCGTTTATTTATATGCAAGTTTTTTTAATTATTTAAATAATCTAGAAAGATACAAAACCAAAACCATAAGTAAAAAAAAAAAAAAAAAAAAAAAAAAAAAATCGAATTGAATTGTTTTGTAATGTTGAAATGATTTAACTGTCTAGATCAAAACTTCACGTTCAGTTTTTCATTTTCTTCCAAACTATCAAATCTCTTTCACCACTCTCACATCCTCATGACCTTGTCATCCGTTTCCCCAACTTCCAATCTTTTAATTTTGTCATCTGAATTTGTTATGACTTCATCTATTCTGCCTCCAAACTATTAGATTTTCCTTTTCGCCTACCAAACTCCTACTCTTTCAACATTCTCAATCTTTTAACCTCACATGACACGACATATTTCAAGATATAGTCCTAACCCGAAACCCGACACGAACTCCACACGAAAATAAACAGGTTGACACGACACGACACGTTAATTAAATGGGATGGGTTAGGATCAAACACTTTCAACCCGTTTAGTGTTTCAACACGACACGAACTCAACACGACACGACACGATTGCCACCTCTACTGTGATTTTAGAAAATTACAACCTCCATCCATTTTCTTCTAACTATGTTAGAAAGTCTCCGTTAAAAGTATATAAAATGATCCATCCACCATCTTCTCTCGTGTCTTTCCTTGTACCAAAAGTCACCATCATAATATCCTCCTTTATTCATCTTCCGGTCAATTAATTTTTATTAATAATTTAACTAGTTGTGAGATTCATATATTACATTAGTTAATTAAAAAAATTAAATACAAAATTCATAATATTTGAAAACTTTGAATTTATAAGAAAAATAAGAAAATTAATGAATTATTATAATGAAAATGTTTTTTATCTTTTAAATTTAAACAAATAATTTAAATAAATAAACAAAATAAACTAATGAGCTTTAATTTGGAAATTTTAAAATAAGAAGATAAGTCCATTAATGAAATTAATATTAATTTATTACTACATTTATTATAATTATAACATTAAAGTATTATGTGAAATTTATCAAACATTAATTTAAAAAAAAAAAAAAAAAAAAAAAAAAAAAAAAAACTCATATGTGGAAAATAAATTAATTCAAAAGAGTAAATTATTGAAATCGTCCCTATGGTTTGGTTAAAATTGCACGTTTAGTCTCTAACTTTTCTTTTGCACTCGGATCGTCCCTGTGGTTTGATGTTGTTGCATTTTTCATCCCTATGGTTTGATTTTGTTGCGTTTTTCGTCCCTTACATACATAAAATTAGGGACCAAAGATGCAATTTTGACCAAACCATAAGGATGAAAAATGCAACAAAATCAAACCACATGGACGATCCGAGTGTAAAATAAAAGTTAAGGACCAAATATGCAATTTTAACTAAACCACAGGGATGATTTCAGTAATTTACTCAATTCAAAATAACCATAAAATAACATTTGTTAAATTGAATGAGAGTGTGACATGTGTTAAAAAAAAAATATTCATTTATTATAGCAGATCTAATTTACTAAAAATAATAATTAAATTGTATTATCATTTATATATTAGCATAACAAACAAAAGCAAATGAAAAGATGAACGGGATCATTTAAATTGTAGAATACTTTATTGTTGTTAACCATTATCTACGTTTCAACACCAAATACTCTCTCTATAGTCTATACCATGGTTTTCAGTTTCACTATTTTACTTCAAATTAATATATTTTGTTGCATCAAGAAAATATGTTTTTTATCAACAACGGAACCGATTTAGGTATGAAAACTAATATATGTCAGTCTGTTTCCGTCTCGTTACTTATAAAGACGGGCATCACAATCTGTCTAGGTACCCATGACCAAAATTCCAACCCTAGTTAAAATCAACTTGCAAAACTAAAAATGATGCCCATTCATATGTATTTAGGATACGTCCATATATTGTATTATTGATATATATATTCAATTAATAAGACGGATCAGATTTCATAGGAAACTATTTGAATTACAAAATTTGCATTAGACTTTTTTAAAGCAAAAGGTTGGAAATTTTTATGTCTGCGCATGCAAAATCATATCATTCAAATTTAAATGCAAATGCAAAATGGACGGGGAACCAGTGTGTAGTGCATTATGGTTGATAGCCAACTTGTTTTTCATGGTCGGCTTGTTAATTTTGTGGTTAATATTCCCCAAATAACAATCTAGAGTAGGTCATTTTTATTTTATTTTACACAACTGGTATTTATTTTCTTAAAATGATAGGACACATCACACACATGAATGACACACTTTATAATAATAACGTAAATACCATAATTTAGTGGTCAAAATTAAATATGGCCACATATAACTAAGTTATCTCCCTCCGTATTCTTACCCACGATACATTTTTGACCCGTTTTCAAAATCACCAGACCAACTGGTTTTAACAAATATAATGCCAAAACAAAATCATTTCTATATGAAGATTTTATACTATTACACCAATTTAAAAGTCGGGTAGCATTATTCAATGTTTTTTTATATATTATATAGCTTGTTTGAAACTTTTTACAAACTTTGTTTCTTTATATCTTGTCAAACCTATTTACTAGTTCCTTACATACGAAAGTCATATATACATACTTCAAATTTTGGCCACAAATTCAAGTATTTAATCACTTGATGTCATGGTTGCTAACATGGTCCATTATTACTACTTGCACTTGACTTTATCAACATTAATCTAGGAAAGACTAACAGTTTTCAAACCTATATATACGTAGGGAAGCCATATTGGAGTTACAAGATTGGAAAACAAGATGAGACTTTAGGGTCATGAAGACCACAAGATGAGACTTTAGGGTCATGAAGACCATAGTTATTGCTCGGATCATCCTTTGCCCGTCTCATGAGGATGTTTAGTGCCACTTGCTATTTATTGTAGTTTGATTTTGTGCTAATTCATTTGAGGAATAGATTTACAGTTGTTTTTATTTTTATGGGTTCGCAGGATGTAAGCAGTTGTTTAATTTATAAAATGTTGTCTTGTTATTCATAATGTGTGTGTATGTTTGGTGTTCTCTAAACTTTTTGTGAAGGGAAAATAGTACATTTAGTGTTGTAGCCGAAGTTGGTAGTGATGAAATTTGGAAATGGCCAAGGGTAGGAATGGGATACTTATTAAGATAAAGAATTTCTTGTTAGGGGTGAAGTTAGAAAGTTCTAAAGTGTAAGGGCCAAAATAACCCAGTCTCAGCAAACCGCTACATAATAGCCGCCACACCAAATTAATATTTTCTGTACACAAAAAAAAAACATAAAAAAAAAAATCATTTCAAATTCAAAAATTAAATGAACTGAATGAATATAAACACTTTTAATTATGTAAAAATAGGTATATTAACAAACCATTAATAGAAGTAAATTCTAGTGTATATGTGAAGAATAATAAAGTTATAATTATGTAAAATTAGGTATATTAACAAACTATTAGGTTTTGATTAACTAATTGTAGAAAACCAAAATTGATTGTATATTAATTTTTGACATTTAAATTTTTTAATAAATCAATATCCGAAATGAAAATCCTATCCCCAAATGTGATGAACTTTTCCTGACATAGATTGATTTTGTATTTTAAGTGGTCTTTCGTATGTGTTTTGTATTAATAGGTTATACTGATTGTAGTTAGGTATTCTTTTGTAGTAGTTTTCATACTCCGAAATGTGTCTAATCAGTTCAAAATCAGGAAAACGATTCTTAAATAGGAGGAAGTTTAATGAAGGCTATGATGGTACATTTGATTTATAATGGAAACCACTTACAGAAATACAGAAATAGGTTACATATATGATGGGATAATAGTTTATAATTGTCTTATAGGAACCTTCGAAAATAGAAATGCCTAGATATGTGATCTATCATATGCGTCTATTCTATCTATCAGTAAATGGTTAATTATATCATACTAACTAATTGTTTATTTGCGGGGAGAAGCTTCATACGTAGATACCCTTGAGGAAGATGAAGGTGTTTGACTGTTTTTGATGAAACACAACTAAATCCATAACCACCAAAGTCAAAGATTAAATTAAGGAGAAGACTCAAATTGAAAACGTAAAGAACTTTTAAAGATAGGTTTGGATCATCCTTTTAAAAAACTATTACTTTATATTGGTGTTTTCTAGCTTGTCTCTTGGTCCGATATGACTTCGTTGGATACTTTGCAAAAGTAGTGTTTTGATGTGGTAGTTATCACGACTTTTGGACTTATCAAACGCCTTGCTCTTTGAAACATCTAAACCAAAGAATGAAGACATTTTTTATGATATTGTATTTATGTTTTTCTTTTAAATTAGAACATCTTCAACTCACTTCCATTTTTCATTTTCTCTCTTATTTTTTCTTTCATTTCTCTCCAATCCTATTCCATTTATTCCCTTATTTTAGGAGAAATAAATAATATAACACCATATTATTTAATATTTATAATAGTATATTATATATTAAATTATATTTAATTAATTATAAATATAAAGTTTATTTTTTGTTTATCAAAATCATAAAAATTTAAATACATATTGAAATTTTAAAATACGATAATGAATTTTATAAAAACTTATAATTAGGTGTTATACATATAATCTTATTTGTTTAATAGTATTGTAATGAAAAAAATTATATAGATTATATTTTTATTAAAACCGAATTAGTATAATAGATATGATTGATAATCTATATAAAATATACTAGGAATATATTTTTTTAGATTGAAAAATAAAATAAGATTGGAAATGAAATACTATTTATCCTGTTTTTTGGGAGAAAAAATAAAAATAAGTTAAAGGTGATCTTAGCGATGGAAGAAAAAAAAAAAAAGCAAAATGTATTGGATAAGTGGATGTGTAATCCTCTTTAGCTTTAACAATTGTGTAACTTTTATTTTAATCTAGTTTCTTGCTAGAGTTTTGTTTATATAATTGTTGTTCCAAAATAAATAATGGACATCATATTTTATTTAAAAGAAAACTACAAATTAATGTAATACAAACATTAATAGGTCATTTTCATAAACAAAAAACAATTTTCACTTTCATTCATCATGCCAAAAGGAGTAATGTTACAAAAAAGAGTAATGTTCAAAAATGATTAGTCTAAAACATCAAAATAAGCAAAACATTAAAATGAAAAAAACCACAAACAAAATATTAAAAAACATCTTATTGCCTTTTCTATAATTCAAAATCCAACAAATACATAAAAAATATCAAATTTATTTTGAAACATGACTCAAATGGTGAAATTATATATCATGCCATTTCAGATTACCATTTTTGTTAAATAAGTAATCAATAATTTAAGATAGGTTAAAACAAATACATATAATCAAGGGAGCCAACAATAGTAAACTTCATTCAAAAAGAAATAGCTAAGGCAACATCAAGAGCAAACACAAATGTTGATCATCTTGTAACTCATTGCAAACAAACTATCAAATACATGATTTCTGATCAATCGTACAGAGAATCAGACTTCAAAATTGGAACAAGTTTTAAACACATTAATACCTAAATATCATCCTGGATAATTTCCACCTTAAGCCTTGATAGCATACTTCCTCAATGGGAAGTACTTCTCCTTCTTCTTCTCTCTTTCAGTCTTCAATGAAACCTAAATCAAACATTGGACATGATTCAATTATCATATCTCTAAATCACATTTTATTTCTAATTTATATCAATATGGAATTCTCCCAACAAATATACCTGATGCTTGGTTAAACGTCTACGGATGGCTCTGGTTTTCTTTGGGCGCAAATCAAGAGGCAAGTATTTCTTGTTCTTGTAAGCTTCCCTAAGAGCAGACTTCTGAGTTTGTGAAATCACAGTCAGAACCTGAGCAATTGATGTCCTCACCACTTTGCTGCAAAAATACATGTTGAAAACATAAATAAATAAATAATACCTGAACGTCGATCTGCTAAATTTTTGTTATAGAAATTCAATGTTTTTCAATTAATTCGATGCAAAACTTGACCCCGTGGCAAGAAAAGCAGCAAGAGGAATATGTAATTATTTAGTTGCAATACTATATAAAACAGCAAAGTCTCGTCTGCAATTGAAGGTAACTTGCAATCAATCTCAGCGATAAATGAAGACAGATGTGTGTAGAGAGAAATTACTTACATCTTGGATAGCTTGTTCGGAGCACCGCCGGTAACTTTGGCGACACGGAGAAGAGCAAGTTCAGCCTTGAGATCCTTCAACTCGGCAAACAAATCAGCCTTCGATTTGTTCCTAAGCTCATGAATTTTGATTCGAGCTGTATTTCCCGTATATTAGAAACATACATTAGGCAATATTGTCGAATTAAATCGAGAAGAACAAAGATAAGCGTCGAATAATCGAAACTGAAAGCTTACCCATTGATCGAAGCCGAAGTGAACTGCAGGGATTGCTCCTTCTGAAAGTTTGAAACCCTAATTACGAGATATGAACGGAAGGTTGGGGTTGATATATAAGGCTCAAGCTATTTGTAGCCCAGTCCAGTCTATTATTTGCTAGATCCATTTCCAAATATCCAATATTTTAATAGACCTTGTTAGCCCACTAAGAGTATCTTACAATTGGATTTTGGGCTAAGATAGCATTCCACTCCCTATCATAAAGCCTCATTTGGTTTTGATACATGTTACTATGTTAACATGGATCTTATATTGTTGGTTTTGATACATGTTAACATGCAATATATGCCGTCTCAGAAAAAAAATACATTTGATTTATGCACCTCTTTATGTTTTCAGTTGGTCGTTATGATTTTATTTCGATATAAAAACACCTAAGTTTTTTTTATATAAAATAATCTTTTATTAATCAGGAAAAAAAAAAAAAAAAAACCTTAACCCATACTCACTATTTTCCTTTTCTTTTCCTCATAAAAACCACAATTTCAATTGGATTCAACCCACTCTTTTCATCATCTTTCTTTCTAAAGAACCAACCACTACCAACTATCCACATTATTACAGTCGCAATCACTTGTGTTGGTGGTCTATTTATGCCACTCATCCACAATACCATCTCCACAACCTCATTATGAGACAACTCCACAACATCATTGTTAGACGCCGTCACAACCATTTATGAGTCTAGAACATAAAACCATATGATTTACTATTTAAATGAAACCGGTAAATAATGAAGGAAAAAAAATGGCTTTAAAAATCTTGATTTTTACATATATTTTTGTTGCTAAAAATATCAACGTAGTTCATTCAAATATTTAAGTTGGTTCATAATTTTTATTTTTATATAATATGTTATAAAAAAAATAGTCAAGTGACCCACCTTTAAGATACATAGTCTCGTCATTGTTCATAACCTCTTTTATTGTCACCTTCATCAAATCTAATATGTTGGACTCTTATCATGCCTCACAGGTCTCCTTGTATGTCTCTCTCAATGATGTGATATGTGACGATGATGGTGCTCATGGGCCAGATTCTGGCGAAGGTAATTTGTAGCGAAGATCGTAGTGATAAGCCACGTATATTATCGAGGTGGTGATAGTGAACTAGATGATGATGAACTCTACGATATGTATGGTAACAAAGATGAATGCTAACCGGGGGTAGTAATCGTTGGGAGAGAGGTGATGGAGGCGACTACAAAAGAAGGTGGCAACAGTGATTCTGGAATCTTATATGTTGGACCCCTATCATGCCTCACAGGTCTCCTCATATGTCTCTCTCAATGATGTGATATGTGATGATGATGGTGCTCAAGGGCCATGTGGTAATGACGAACCAGATTTGTAGCAAAGATAGTGGTGACAAGTCATGTATGTGATCGAGGTTGTGGTAGTGAACTAGATGAGGATGAACTCGACGGTAGGTATGGTGATAACGACAAATACTAACCATGTTTAGTAATCGTTAGGAGGGAGGTGATGGTGGCAATTACAAAAGAAGGTGGCAATAGTGGTTCTAGAATCTAGACAGAAAGAAAATAGCAATAGATCGAAAGGGATAAAATAAGAGAGAGATTCTAATAAGGTTATACATGATGTGGAGTTTTATTTTTTATTTTAAATTAAAATCAGTTTAAGAAAAAATATATTAAATTAAAAAGGATATACATTTCATTTTAGATAATGTAAATGTCCAACCACACAAAAAGACTTAAATCATAAACACATTTACATATATTAATATTAGGATGTACAACCAACTAACAATGTACATATACACCCTAAAAAGATCCAAAACATCTTAGTTAATTCAGATGTACTATTACATTAATGTTATATGGTAAAGCAAACAATTTTATCAAAATTTGGTAAAATCAAGGGGAATGGATGGACTAATAATAAAACGACCCTTGGTAGAAATTAGGGTTATCAGCGATTGTCTTCTACTCTCATCGGTGACAACATGTCCGATAATATTTGTAACGTCCCAAAAATCACAGAGAGATTTTTTATTTATAAAAAAAATTAACCAATTAAAACTTTAATTTCAAAGTCCATTAAGTGACATTTGTTTGATTGAAACCATACATTGTCATAATTGAATTTACAAAACCGTTGTGTAACATCCCAAAATCCAAAACCAAAAAGTTCATTTTTAATTTAATAACTCATAAAACATATTATTGAAAATATCATTAAGTTATCCCATATCATAAAAATCCATAAGTCATATGTCTCAAAACAAGTCATAATAATGTCTATGTACAAATCCCAAGAACATCATAGTGCAGAAAATAGTGGTGTGATGTGTTGCAGTCATGCCGGCTTCTTTCCCTTCGAAGAAGAAGTACCTGAAACCAAAACTGTAAACCGTAAGCACGAAGCTTAGCGAGTTCCCCCATCACACCACATACCATACAATAAACATATTGTAAGGCATATAAGGGTGCCCGACCTACCCTGATGCGCATATCGGGGTGCTCAATCTACCCCTGTTAGGCATACCGGGGTGCCCAACCTACCCTTGTAAGACATACTGGGGTGTCCGACATACCCCTATCAGGCATATATGGGTGCCTAACCTACCCCCGGTTTATCTCAACCGGTTACGGGAACTATTTCACCCCTACCACTACCACATAATAACATATCATAAACATATTGTTAGGCATATACGACTACTGTCTATGACTTCGGTCTCTTTCAACCAACAATTCGGCACTATCACATAATATCATAGCATCCTAGCACATAGAGCATAACAAATAGTGGCATACCAAACAATTATCACAAAGACAGTTGTCTCAACTATAAATAACTACTAGTGGGTCGGCATTGGTGCCCTCGACCCACTTATGCTAGAAGGTAACTCCTCACACTGCTGAAGTCCCGCGGACAAAACTCTAGTTGTTGGATGATAGATTCCCGAACTGTCAACATTAAGTAACACCCAATTAATAATTGGGCTCCAACACATAACCATAAGTCCATACTTGGGATAATATACTACTTTACCCCCCCCCCACCCAACTTAGCTTGATTCAATCCCAAGGTCCAATCCAAAGGCCCAAAAGTCAAACAATGAACCAAAGCCCAACATATGGCCCAAATTTCCAAATTGGGCCCAAAACTTTACATGGTATTACCCTAAGGCCCAACTGTATATTCCAGTCCAAACATTTAGCATTCCAATGGTCCAACATCTGATAATCATCAAGGCCCAATATGGCATACCTATGACCCAATTTTCCAGATTAGGCTCAAACCCTCACATGGGCCTTACCCTAAAGCACATCCAAATATTCTAGTCCATATACTTGTTAATGGATGACCCATCAGTAGCCCAATGTGACATCCCCAAAATCTCGGCCAGAAAAGACCGGTTTCATTTATGCTTTTTAAACATTTTCAGAGTAAATCCTTTTAATTTTAAAAGAGATGCGGAATTTGTTCCCAAAAACAAAACATGATAAAATAGATATTTATCAAAACATTTCATAAGACATATGATTTCATTTCATATTCAAAAGTCGGGATGTCATGTTCCGATACAGATCATAAAGCATAAACGACAACATTACAAGTCATTCAACAAATATATACATATACAGACTTGTAAACAAAACAACTTGATGATTCGCCCATCTTAAGCTCTTGCGCCACTTCCTGTAATACAAATAAACTGAGTGGGTCAGGCTTGGGAGCCTGGTGAGCATATAGGGTTTTCAAACCCACAATAATTATATTTAATTACAACAATCAACAATAAACCCGATTACCCATTCCCGTTATCCTCACTTTACGTTCCTAAAAATAACGTCTATTATAAGGAACCTATTTCAGGATTTTTCATCGGGACGGACATTAGTGCAGAGGGGCTTCCTCAACATTAAGTGTCCTAAAGGCAACCATGTGGGGGATAGAGTACACCGGTGAACACGTCGTTCACAACACCTACAGGTAATGAGCCTGCTAGTGTTCCACAGGACAATCTAGAATAGTATGTGGTCGTCATTCATACTCTGCTGAATGACTAGAATAACACCAATAACACCGAGGCCTCTCATCTGTTTATTACACACCAATTATCTACCCATGTTCTACCCAACATATTAGTAGATAAAAATATACATTTTTATACATAGTTTAAAAACCTGTATAACATGCTTTAATAATACATATTCCACATAACAGATGAGGCATACACACATAACACGTATTTCATAGAGAATACATCAGATCTATAAGATAGAAGAGAGTGAATATACACTCGCACGTATAACAACCAAATATATACACCTAACACGTATTTTATATGAAATACTTCATAATATTGCGTTGGAAATAAAATAATTACACACTCACTTGATCAGAAGATGATCGGGCAGCACTACGGCTTGCAGAAGAGGTGTTTCTCCGTAGATCTGGAAGATCTTCACAAAACCAGGCTCCTCGCGGGCAGCGTTTCGACTCGGGAATAACGCTCTTCGGTATCCTCGGGGCTTCGGATCTTGCTTCGGGGCTTGGGAATATTACCGGGCCTTCGGGGTATAAACGGCACGCAAAACGAGGCAAAACTTAGAGAGAAGGAAGAGTTTGAACAAGAGAAAATGGCTGAATTCGAGTTCTATTTATAGGCTGAGGGTCTGGGATTACGCGGGGCGTAATCTCAAATTACGCGGGGCGTACTTTGACGTCACTGCGTGCGTCAACTGGTGGCACTCATGTATCGGTCAGACAAGTTGCATCCGACTGAGTACGCTGGGCGTACTCAAATTACGCGGGGCGTAATTGACTCGTCGAACTTCTAAATTGCGTAACTTTCGCATACGAGCTCCGTTTTCGACGTTCTTTATATCCACGTGAAGGTCATACCATACTCTACAACTTTCATTTAGAGTCCGTCGGCTAATTTTGACTTTTATTTTTATTATTTATTTTTAGAAGGCCGGGACAGAAAAACTTCGTTATAAATTCATAACTTCTTCGTCTGACGTCCGTTCTCGCCTAACTTTTCCTCGTTTCGCTACTAACAACAAGATCTTCGATTCTCATTTAGATTGTTTCGGCTAAAACCGCTCGATCTCAAATCGAGTATTCGGGCTGCATACTGCTAAGTCGAAACTTAGAAAAATCATAACTTCCTCATACGAAGTCAGATTTGGGCGTTCCTTTTATGCACGCTCTCGGTTTAACGAAATCTACGACTTTCGTTTAGTTCGCTAAGGCTAAATATCGCTCTATCTTAAATTCATATTTTACGTCACTCGGTATCGTGTCGGTTCTGTCGCGAAACTTCGACAGGTCATAACTTCTTCGTTATAACTCTGATTTTGGCATTCCTTATATCTCCGGAATCCTTGTTTCGACCACTACAACTTTATGCAAAGATATCAGGCTTATCTCACACTTTAATTTTGACGCTTATTTTATTCTTAATTCATTAAATTATAAAAATCAAGAAAATAAACACATAAATCACATAATTCACATAATTCACAAATAATACATTTTTATTATTTCAAATTTAGTTACAAAGGTTAACCTAGACTATTACATTGCTAGAAATGGCAAGCCCAGAAACACCGGCGTTTCACCCAATCACTAAAGCCCAACAAATAGGCCCAACGCAAGGCCCAAACAAAATTAAGGTTTTCACATAAAATGATGA